TTCAGGCTCCGATGGGCATAAGTATATTCGCGGTCTTCGACCGGGGATTCTGGGTCTTGATACCGCACCCCCAAACGAGGTATCAGCAGCTGCTCCTACTGTGAGGAATCGTTTGGCTAAGCTTGGGAGGAAGTTACCTCCACCAGATTTCAGATGTTTTGGTTGGGTTTACTCACAACCCAAAGGATGGTGGACCCGTATGACTAGTTACGTCTTGGGACGTTGGGAGGGTGATCTGAGAAGCAGCGGGTTGTATGTGCCTCTACGAGCCACCATGTATGGATTCCAAGTCAGCTGTCGCCACTTTCTAGCATTGTTAGAAACATACGTCCTTGATAGTAACACCTTCCTGACTTGCGGTGGAGAGTTAGGGTTAGCTTTGCATGAGATGCATAAGGTTTCTGGCCTTCCAATGGGGGATTGTCCGTATCAGGAGTACTTTCCCTCGAACATGCAATTGGAGTGGATGAAGAAGTATTCGCCCGATATGTACGACACGCTCTGGGATCTTACGTGTCACTATTACACATCTCTTGATACGGGTGTATCTTCTCTTCGGAAAAACAATCCTCATAGGAGCTTGAGGATAGGTGATTCTCATGATATCTTTAGAATAAAGGCGTGGTTGGAGCCATAGAGGACGGCGAAAGAAGTCAGAAGGAGTGAAACGCAAAAGATCAGGAAAACAGGGTCGGGTTCTGGTCGGTCGACCGCGGCACCCATGTCGGTCGACCGAAAAAACCTGCACAAGGTAGGGTTTGCGGAAGCGCTCTGGCCGGTCAACCGGACCAGGATTGGCGGTCGACCGGATCGCGATATTTGGCTTTTCCTGGTTCGTTTTGGATTCTATTTTTGACAGGGATTCCTGATCCTTTTGGACTTGTTTATTTACAAGATTACCACCACGTTGTAAACCTTATAAATAGGGATTATTTAGGGTTCTAAACAAGGAGGTGAGAGGCCAAGATGTAGTCCTAAAGGGTTTTAGGTCTAAGTGAAATCCTGATCAAAAGGATTAGGGTTTAGATTGTAATCAGACCTTAGAGAAAAAGAAATTCTAATCAAGAGAGATTAGAGTTTAGAGAGGATTGAGAGGTTGTTCTCGATTCTAGTGAGATTGTGAGGGAGAGATTGTAATCTTTTGTTCTTCATAATCTAGAGAAGGTATTTTTCTTCGCCTCATACTGAATTGTTCTTGTGTTTTGGTCATCCTCTTCTCAACCCACCTTTTGGTAATTCCGCGACCAAAGGGTGCTCGCACGACGACTCGTATCAAGTTGGTATCAGAGCGATTAGATCCTGTGGAAGGGGGAACCTCTAGATGGTCCTTACTCGATCGCAATACAAGAAGCTTGGCGAGATCCTTTTCTTTGGAAAGAGTTCAGAGACTAAGGAATAAGAAGATGACTGAAGAAAACAAAGATGGATGGGCTCGAGAGTTTCCTCAGCTGAAGTTCTAACTTGAAAAGGACTTCAAGTTTCTAAAGGGGGACCCATGATACGGGTGTATCTTCTCTTCGGAAAAAACAATCCTCATGGGAGCTTGAGGATAGGTGATTCTCATGATATCTTGAGAATAAAGGCGTGGTTGGAGCCATAGAGGACGGCGAAAGAAGTCAGAAGGAGTGAAACGCAGAAGATCAGGAAAACAGGGTCGGGTTCTGGCCGGTCGACCGCGGCACCCATGTCGGTCGACCGAAAAAACCTACACAAGGTAGGGTTTGCAGAAGCGCTCTAGCCGGTCGACCGGACCAGGATTGGCGGTCGACCGGATCGCGATATTTGGCTTTTCCTGGTTCGTTTTGGATTCTATTTTTGACAGGGATTCATGATCCTTTTGGAATTGTTTATTTACAAGATTACCACCACGTTGTAAACCCTATAAATAGGGATTGTTTAGGGTTCTAAACAAGGAGGTGAGAGACCAAGATGTAGTCCTAAAGGGTTTTAGGTCTAAGTGAAATCCTGATCAAAAGGATTAGGGTTTAGATTGTAATCAGACCTTAGAGAAAAAGAAATTCTAATCAAGAGAGATTAGGGTTTAGAGAGGATTGAGAGGTTGTTCTCGATTCTAGTGAGATTGTGAGAGAGAGATTGTAATCTTTTGTTCTTCATAATCTAGAGAAGGTATTTTCCTTCGCCTCATACTGAATTGTTCTTGTGTTTTGGTCATCCTCTTCTCAACCCACCTTTTGGTAATTCCGCGACCAAAGGGTGCTCGCACGGTGACTCGTATCATCTCTAATCAAAGTGACCACTCAGGCAAAGAGGAAGAGGCAGATCAGCTTGAAGCAGTTCGCCGTTTATCTATTCCAGCATTTAGAGAGTGGTCCAAGCGAAACTATCCGTGAGTTAGATGTTATGACACCTTCTGCCATTAATGAGTTGATGGAAAAGGCCGAAGCTTGCTCCTATACTACTGCCGGTGTTAAGGGAGCTTTTTCCGTAGGGACCAAATTTCGGACATTTCTTGGCCATGCACATAAGTCTATTCAGCCCAGGACTCTGTTAGCAAGCTATCTTGCCATCTGGTTGAAGAAGTACGTCGTTCCATATAAGTTTTCTGACGCCTTACCTCTTGAGGTGCTCTTCCCTGCCGTTCAACTAGCTTACGGGAGGGAGCTTTCTCTGCTTCCGGCGATGGTTGCTGGCATCCATTGTGGGCTTAGGTATTTGGTCGATGGTTTTACACAGGTGGGTCTTGAACCGTCGACTGAGCTTGTTTCTGTAAAGGTCGAGCTTCCGTATACATACCTGATGGCGTGGCTCATTCTTCATCGTCCTGATTTGATGTCGGCGCCTAGTACTGTTGATGTCTCCGTTCCTTTTGTGCAGCTGTTGGAAAGGAGTAAATGGTTCGGGAAGACGTTCACTGATGTACAGCAAGAGCTCCAAGTTCGTAAGAGCTGGGAGTTCTTCAAGTGTTTTCCTCGCTTCTCGGGCCGTTACAATGATGTGTTGATTGATGAGGAGAAACCCCAGACTGGTCGGACTTCTCTGGACGCTGGTTGTTTCCGTTGGTTGGTGAACATCCGCGTTGGATATCTTGTTCTTCGGGTGAAGAACCGTTGTCACATAGAGCCTTACCTTCCGTGCCGCTTCGCTCGCTAGTTCGGTTACAACCAACTGTATGTTGGGAATCCGAGCCGTGGTTTGAAGACTGAGGGGGGGCTTATTGACGGCGTTCGAGCATGGCTTTTGACTATGGTGGGCTGTACTGGGATCTACTTCGCTCTTTCTTCATCTAAGTGCAAGCTGTTGCTTACTTTTCTCAGCTGCAAGTGGTTCCTTTCTGCCAATGAGTTTATAGGCGTGAGGAGTCTTTCAGAGTTGGAGGCTGAGCACTTGGTTCAAATCACCATCAAGGCTGCTCGTAAGGCCGAGCTTTCGAAGAAACAGGGGAAAAGGCCTGCCAAACCTTCCCTTTTGAGCAGAGACAAGGTGGAGGATGATGAAGAGCTCCTTCCTACTGGCGACGAGGATGAGACTTCCGAGGAAGAATATGTGGACACAGATATTGACAAGGAAGAACCTAATGCATGTTTGTCAGACTTTTTCTTTTCAGAATTAACTGATCTGGCCTTCTTTCGTTGACATCAACGTCATATCCTTTCTAGGTCTCAATTGGCTTTTCACCAACCAGAGCGAAAGGTCTTATTCACTTATCCTAACAAGATGACTCTTATCACCTCAGGTAGAATGGTTGACGAACACGAGTCGCTTGCTTCTCGCTATGCGAGGTCTCATCCTAGTGGCAAAGCTCCTGCACAGGTCGAGATGCGTACTAAGTTCATGCATGAACGACCTGTCGATTCCGTAAGAGTTCGTACCTCAAAACGGAAGAAGACCGTTCATAAACCACATACTGGTCGGCGTACTTACAGGGCAGAGTCAGGAAGCACTGTTGGTGGGGAAGAGGGTAATACCCCATTGTCTTTATTGCTTTAAGATGATTCACCTTTTGGGATTCGCTAAACTTAATCATGTTCTATGTTCCAGGAAACCATGACGAAGGTGAACTTCCATAGTATTCTGTATTCCCTGATTCTGATCATTTGGATAGTTTCGTGCAGCAGATGTGTGATGCTATTCATGATGAGCCCATGGATGTTGACACGAACATGGATACTGAGCAGGTTAATAGTGTTGACCCAACAATTCTATGCTCAGGTATATCTAAATCCGATGATACCCTACTCGAGTAGCAGCCGAAAGAGTTAGGGAATTCAGGATTTATTTCTCCTTTAATTATTTCCGTGCTTTGCTTTCTTTCAGATAACTTGAAGAATCCAAACACGGATGTCAGGGTAAAAGAATCTTCTGCCCCTACTGCAGGTACATCTGAGCTCTTCCTTCTTTCCCCATCTTTTTTGTATATATCCAACACTTAAATTATTCTACAGGAGCCATATTAGAGAGACCAGTTGAGGATGAGGCTTTTCATGATACAGGTCTTGAGGAACAATGGTATGTCTCACCACCAAGTTTCTCGGGATCCGACATTAGACTATTAGTCGACATGCTGGCTGAGCAGGCCTCAAGAGGGGCCGCAGGACCATCCTTTGAGGGTGATACATCTGCAGGTATATATTTGATTCTCTTCATTTTGTCAGGTCTTTTATCTGAATGACAAAGAATTATAATCACAGGACCAGTCACTGGAATTGATTCCGTCATGATTCCCGGCATCTCTAGTTTACCTGAGGATAATGGACTTGCCGGTATGCATATAATCTTCATCACCGTTATTTGTCTGAATTTTTACTTGACTAATGGAGGAGTGTAATCTCAGGACCAGCCACCGGGACTGATACAGTTATGACTCCTGGCATTTCCAGTTTGTCGGAGGGTGATGAACCTGCGGGTACGCATATAATCTGATCACCACGATCCTCTTTATTTGTCTAAATTTCCATTTGACTAATAAAGAAGTTAACCATAGGACCAGCCGTCATGACTGATGCGACTACGGTTTCTAGGATCGCTAGCTTGCATAACGATGGTGTCTCTCCTTCGCCACCGAGAGGCACCGCTGATTTACCTAGAGAGGTTGATATACCCTCAACGACCACACCTGCTGTCATCTCGGAGCCCGCTGAGACTAGACTGACGGAGTCAATTGTCAGACCTCAGTCTGTGGGACCTCTATTGGTATTGGTATGCTTGCAATTCGCTTTAAATTAAATTTTATCACGTTCGAGAATTTCTTACTCTTCAACATGATTGCTTGTAGGATCTCAGCCTTCTCCATATGAACATGTCCTCTCCCTTTTGTCTGATTCCGATCCCAGCAAAGACATATTCCGAATAGATCTCAGCTCTTTCGTCGTCTTTTTTAATGGCATGATCGAGAAGATCCTTCATCAAGGGTATTGCTTTGATCAGTTTAGACGTTCCCTTTCTCGCCACCTGACGATGATCAAAGAAGAGGGATATCCGGCGTTAGCTGACTCTCTTACTGCTGATTTTATTATCTTGGAATCTGAACTCCGAGAGTTAGAGGAGCTAAAGGCTAATGGAGCTTCTTCTTTCGTGTCCTCTCAGTTGGAGCATAGATTGTCACAATGGCGTGATTTGAGGTCTTCCATCGGCAGCGAGCTTCAGTCACATGAGAATTCTATTACACAGCTGATGGCTAGTCTTGCAAGAAAGGACACTGACAGAGCCGAGTTACTCAGTTCTTTAGACTCCAACCGTGAGGAAGTAGACAAGTTGAAGAAGGCCTTGAAGTATGCCGAGGAGTCTGGTGCTATCATGGCAGAGGAGTTGGCTGAACTAGAGAAATCTCGCGGACAGATGCTTGAGAGATTAGGATCTACGCAGGAGAGACTGATGAAGCTAAAAAATGAAGCCGCGAAGATCTTGAGCAATTCTAAAGAATCTGTCCGAGTTGATCTGCAGGCTGAGCTTGAGCAGAGTTATGTAGATAGACTTTCTAAGTTAGAATTTCACATTCTTGCTCGCCGACTGCGTTCGGGCCAATGAACTTTTTGTTGTATGCTTTGACTTGATCCATTAGTAGAGACCCAGTATTTGATTTAATACACTCATCTTTTATCATGATGTTTCTTTATTGATTACGAATCTAATGGACACAATATTTACAAAATTTTTGGCAAATCCCCAGTCATCAACGGGTTTGATGTGCCTTTACCGATTACCGTTTGAATCGGGCTAGCATGCGGATTATTTTAGTCCGTTCCGCATGTAACGTTGTGCTAAGAGCGTTAATTCACTTAGACTTGATGCTATGATTTTGAATACATAGACTTCATCGTTTCTTATGGGAAAAGGTACTCAGCAACGCGTGTTAGGCGATGACTTATCCCTTCTTAGGTTTCAGGATAAAATTCCTCAGACTTAGACTCTGGTGTCTTTTTCAATCGGCGAAAGATTAAACCGGCGATGTGTGTTAGACATAGACTTTAGGATTTTTGGCAAACCCCAGCCTTCAACGGGTTTGATGTGCCTTTACCGATTACCGTTTGAATCGGGCTAGCATGTGAATTATTAAAACCCGTTTCACATGTAACGTTGTGCTAAGAGAATTACTTCTCTTAGACTTGGTGCTATGATTTGAATACATAGACTTCACCATTTTTTTACGAGAATGTGGCACCCGGCAACGTGTATTAGGCGTTGACTTATCCCTACTTAGGATTTAGGATAAAATTCTCCAGACTTAGACTCTGGTGTCTTTTTCAATCGGCGAAAGACTAAACCGGCTACGCGTGTTAGGCGTAGGCTTATCTCTATTTAGGAGTTGAGATAAAATTCCCCGTGCATAAAGTGTGCGTATTAGAAGTTGAGAATTGTGTCCTTTCTTAAGGCAAAGACAAACCCAAAGTTGGAGCGGAAGAATTTTATATTAGAATTGTGTCCTTTCTTAAGGCAAAGACAAACCCAAAGTTGGAGCGGAAGAATTTTATATTCTTGGCCTCAGGTCTTGTTTAGGGTAAAGATGAACCCAAAAATAAAAGAGGAAGAATTTTATATTCTATCTTTCAACACTGAAGAAGAAGAATTTTATATCTTATCTACAGTTGGAAAGGAAACTCGAGGTGGGATCCGCACCCCCAGAATCCAAAAAGATGAAACTAAGAGTGTGATCTCCACTCCGAGAATCAGAAAGATTCAAACGACCCTAACTTTTATAGGATTGGTTGTTTGATCCAAAAAGAATTCCTCATTTATTGAGGAAAAAGTCCAATTTCGATCCTAACTTTTATAGGTTTGGTTGAAAAAGGAACAATGGCAGTCTTTCGTTTATCGAAATGGATGACTCGGTCTTAGTCCTAACTGTTTGTAGGTTTGACTAAGTGAGATTGAGAACAATCCTAACTTTTATAGGTTTGATTGTTTGAGTTGAAAGTGGACCTCTCGTTCATGGAAGGAATTGAGAGGAGAATTTGGCTTTGGCCCTAACTTTTATAGGTTTGACCTGAAAGCAAAGAGAGTGGTATACCAAAAGCAATGGGAATGCTGACTCGTACTATCACTCAATGGAGGACTTCAATGCTAAGTGATTAGGACCTAACATGTTGAGTCTAAGGACTGCCAATGACTGGCGGATAGAAGTTTTGGTGGACTCACCGTCAATTGATTTGATCAATTGATAGCTTTGTGAGGAAGGATTAATCTGTCAAAGGATTGAATCTCGTCTCACAAAATAACACATGAGAGTTAGAGAATTTGATAACAATAAAAAGAAACATTCAAAGTTTAACTATGGGCCTCTTATTTATCACTTTTACAATGATTGGGTTATCCCTAAGAATACCACACGTGGCATTCTTCCGGGAACTTCCCGATACATTGGTTATCCTGAAGGTACTAAGGGTAGTATTTTTTAAGGAACTTGCCGTTTATCGGTATCATAAGCCGGTCACCATCCTTGGTAACCAAGCGATATGCGCCACTCGAGTAGACTGTCTCTACTACGAATGGTCCCTGCCATTTGGGCTCAAATTTACCTTTTTCCTTGGAGTTAAGGATCATAGGTCGTCTTTCAGTCAAGATTAAATCTCCTTCTTTAAAACTCCGTTGTCGAACCTTCTTGTCGAAAGCTCGAGAAATTCTGGCTTGGTATAACTCAATATGCTGTTGAGCTTCTAAGCTCTTTTCGTCAAGCATCTCGAGTTCTTCGAGATATTTCTGATGTTGTTCTTTGGTCGTCATCTAGGTCGTGAGAGAGATTCGAAGAGACGGAATTTGTATTTCTAACGGAAGAACGGCTTCACATCTGTATACCAAAGAATACGGGGTCGCTCCCGTCGGTGTACGCATCGTGGTACGACAGGCCCATAGAGCCGCGCCAAGCTTGTCATCCCAATCTCGTTTATTAGTTTTCACGAGTTTTGACAAAAGCTTTATGATAGTCTTATTGAAGGCTTTAGCCAATCCATTTGTTGTGAGATTGTAAGCCGTCGACGAGACGTCATGAATTTTGAACTTCTCGCAAAACCTAATGAAGGCGTTGCTAACAAATTAAGGACCGTTGTCATGTATGATTTGTCTTGGGACACCATGCCGGTAGATAATATGGTGTTTGATGAATGCGATGACGTTACTGGTCTTAACTTCTCTGAGTGGAATTGCTTCAGCCCATTTGGAGAAGTAGTCAGTAATTGCCAGGATGAATCGGTCACCTTTGACTGACGGGGGATTTATAGGACCAACAATATCCATTCCCCAGGTCTCAAACGGCCATGATGTAACCGAAGGATGTATATACTCCGGAGGTTGGTGCATATAATTCGCGTGTATCTGACACGCATGACACTTTCGAGCATACGCGACTGCGTCACTCATCATAAAAGGCCAAAAATATCCCATTCTTCTGATGCGGTCATAAAGTTTGGGGCCGGGTTGGTGTGCACCACAAACCCCTTCGTGTGTTTTCTTAAGGACTTCTTTAGCTTCTTTAGTCGATAAGCAACGTAATAGCAAACCATCGTACCCCCTGCGGTATAGCGTTCGACCCTCTTGAACATCCTCTTCCTTGTCATCTTCATCGCAGATTAGCACTAAGAGTTGGTGAGTTCTTACCGTAACAAACTGTTCTGTTTTAGGAGGTTGCGCCACAGATACGGCTAATGCTGCTAAAGCATCTGCGTAAGCATTCTGTAATCGCGGAATGTGTTCGATGAAGAATCCTTCGAATGATTCTGCCATCTCTACAACCATCTTGTGATATGGTATTAAATCCTGACTTTGGACCTCATACTCCCCTTGAACCTGCTTAACTATTAGTTGAGAATCGCCGAAAGCTTCGAGATACTCAACCCCCAGTTCTTTAGCGAAATTGAGTCTATGAGTAGCGTGTTATACTCAGCTACATTATTTGAGCATGGCTCGGTCAACGAGTAGGCTCGAGGCATGACATGTTTTCCCGGGGAAACTAAGACAACTCTAACTCCAGAAGAAATATTAGAACATCCAGGGGTACTTGCTACATTAGCCGCTCGAGAAGCACCATCGAAGTACAAACGCCATACTTGTTGGTGTGAAGTTACGTTGACTTCATGGGTTTCATCTGGCAGATCGTCATATATCTCAGCAGTATCCGTAGTTGGGTTAGCTGCTAGGAGGTCACAGATGACCTATCCTTTTACTGACTTCTGTTGTTTAAAGTGCAAGTCATATTGGGACAAGAGTAAGGCCCATTTTGCTAAACGCCAATTCATGAAAGCTGGCTGTGTCATGAATACTCGGACTGAGTTAACTTTGGAGATAACATAAATAGTCTGTCCAACCAGGTAATGTCACATCTTTTGAATTACGAATACCAAGGCGAGACATTCTCTTTCAATCATGGGATACCGAGATTCAGCGCCTACCAAGGTCCGACTTAGATAATATACTGCCTGTTCATGACCGTTATCGTCATCTTGTGCAAGTAATGCACTTAATGAGTGGCTCGCCACCTTGACGTAAATCAAGAACGGTTTGCCTGAATACTTTCGAATGCTTTTTGACAAGCGTCGTCCCATACGAACGATACGCCCTTCTTTGTGAGTTTGGAGAATGGTTGACATTTTCCTGAGAGGTTCGAGATGAACCGACGGATATAAGCCAACCGCCCTTGCAATCCTCTGAGCTCTTTAAGGTTTCTCGGAGGTTGTAACTCATTAATTGCCTTTACTTTATCAGGGTCGATGTGAATACCTTTGGTGGTGATGACGAATCCAAGGAATTTACCACTGGACATTCCGAGGAAAGACTTGGTAGGATTTATTTTCAATTGATGGGTTCGCATCAGATCGAACATCGTCTTTAAGTCTTTGATGTGATCATTCTTGTCACGACTTTTTACGACTAGATCGTCCACGTAGCATTCGACAGTTTTCCGGAGATGCTCCTGAAAAATCTTCGACATGGCTCTCTGATATGTGGCACCTGCATTCTTTAAGCCGAAGGGCATGACCATGTAGCAGAAAACACCGAGGGGTGTTCTAAACGCGGTATGCTTTTCATCATCTGGATGCATCTTTATTTGATTATAACCAGAAAACCCATCCATGAAAGACATCCTCTCGAACCCGCACGTATTGTCGATGATGACATCTGTGATGGGAAGGGGGAAATCATCTTTTGGGCAAGTAGCGTTGAGGTCTCTAAAGTCGATACAAACCCTGATTTCCCCATTCTTCTTAAGAACCGGGACAATATTAGCAAGCCAATCGGGATGTTGCTCTTCCCTAACAAAGCCCGAGTCGATTAGCTTTTTAACTTCGGACTCGATCGCCTCCATCATCTGCGGACGAAACCGTCTTTGTTGTTGTTTGATAGGTTTGACATCCGGATTAATATTAAGACGATGCAATGTTACATTTGTATCGAGCCCTAGCATATCTTCATAATTCCAGGCGAACACATCGATGTACTCCCTGATAAGAGAGATTAACTCCTCTTTCTCATCGGGCGGGAGACTGTCGCTAATGAATATTGGCTTCGGATTATCCTCGTTTCCCATATTCACTTGG